GAAACTGCCGGGCTACTGCCGCACAGCTGTTAGTTAGGAGTTAAGCAGGCCAACCATGAACTATGCAGCTGAGACCCGGGCAGGGCTCCTTCACCCTTGGGCTCAATCCTTAATGACTAATGACGCAGATGCAGTCGGCAACGGGACATTATCATTGCTACCATCATTTTTCTATACAAGCTGCTGAAAAACTCGAGACTCAACGAATCCTCTCCCTCCCGAGGTTCCGGCTCTAAGGCACTTTCGAAGTCGCGCTTGGCATCTGCTGTGACCTCAAGGCATTCTGCAGTCACACTCTCTCGGCTTGTTCAGCACTGCCAGCTGCACGTCCTCCCTGGCCAATCTTGGCAACCTGCTCCAAGCTGCATTCTGGCGAGGCCGCGCCGATAGAAGCCCTGCGGCATGTCGGAATTTCTGATGTTGATACAGAACTGCTGTGGCAATGAAACTTCGGCGTCATGAATTCATCATAGCATGCCCAAGGGTGTGAAAGGTACGCGACCAGGCTTCAGGACCGCATGTACGCCCTCAACTCTAAGGACTGTGACTCGCTCTGGATTCGAAGTGCCTGGCCTTGCTGCATCGTCCCATGCGCAACGCCCGGGTGGCGAAGTCCTCTGCGCCTTCCCAGTCCTGCCCCCATCAGCTCTGTTGAATGCAGGTAAGGTGGAGGGGCTAAAAGTACAACCAAAACACAAACGAGAAAATGTCTTTCCAAGAAACGGGCGTTTTGGCAGCTACTGCTCTTCAATCCACATTCAAGAAAAAGCAACAGTTGGTGGCAGGTGCCAGCTTTTCCCGAGAGTTTTGCTTGAATGATTTGCGTAGTCTTCGTCACGGGTAATCCGAAGTCCTGCAGCCAAGCTAAGAATGCGCAGGGGCCTCTCCACAGCCAGCTCGAGACTTACGGAAACCAACGTTTCTCGAGTTGTTGTGGTTGCCGATGCTTGCACATGCTATCCAAATTAGCGCTGGTTCTCCTACCCTTGGCTTGCCGAGTCGCTGACTTGGATTTCGCACAAAGACGTGTTTTGGGAGCTTTCGGGCCGTGACTGGTTCACCTTTCTAAGCGGAAACCTCCAAATCAACAAACACCAAGATTGGATTGAATTGCAAGCTTTGCTTCGCTGCCTTTCAGAATGCAATGCGCTGACATGCAGATCAGAATGGGTCTCGACAATCTGTGTCCGGGAATGGATTTTTCCAGCGACTCGACAGTCTGTAGAATCGGGGAACTTCATGCTCAAGAACTGTTCGCCAAGGCCATCAAATCTGTTTGTCGCATGCACACCTATTTTGCAGCGAAGCGACCCCTTGCATGCGTTATGCATTAACACGATTTGTACGATTATGCTCTCTGGTTGCTTCGCGGATAGTTGCAAACTAACCATCTGACAACGTCAATGGCAACTTTCAAACGAAAATACCTGAACCAAATTTAATCTGGACTCGATCTAGATTGAATCCGCATTCCCAGTGGTCTCCCTCTTTTTCTTCTTCGGCAAAGCTAAGAGACACGCAGCATGCCAGGGAGCGAGGGAAGCTTCCCCACCCGATTTGACATGCATTTGGGGAGTGTGAACGCACTCTGCAGGTAACGCCTGCCTGTGCAAATTCTACATATGGTTTACATGCTGGTCATGTTTTGCCCTTGCAAGCTAGACATGACTTCAAGAACGGTCTTCAGGAATGGGGATGTCCGTCGTATATACTTGTACAATGTTATGCAACACGCATTACTGGTACTATGGCAACAGGATAAATCTTCCAACAGATTCTGTCTCGATCTCTCTCTCTTTGCTTTGCTTGGGGCCCTCTGAGCGGAGCGATACCCCATCCATCATTTGGACAGATGGGCTCGGCTGTCTGTACTGTGATTTTCCTGGTGCCTGGGAGCTGGGCGAGCGCCCCATGAGAGACCTCTCTCTGTCTATCTCGCTTTCTTTCGTTTTCCGCGGCACACGTGGCATTGCCCCCAAGCCGAAGGCTAACCCGTGTTGGCTGCGAGCCTTGCGAGAGCGTGAAATAGTAGCACTGTCGTGCGATAGTTCGCACCCGACGCTGCAACAACATGAAGCTCAGGTCGTTCCCCTGCAGACGTGCAGGGCTATGGCAGTGTGTTACAAAGCGCTGAGATAACCGAGGTCCCAAAACGTAAACACGATCGGCAAGAAAAGATAAGAAAAGCAACACCAAGCGGCATCCCCCGGTCTTCTTGTTGCTAGCTTCATTTCGCAATTGCCAAGTCTGCCGGCAAGGCTGTGCACAAAATCGGCGTGAGGGCGATGCTGCTTGCTTCATCCCCCAATCATTCCCTGAAATTATTGCACCTGCCATAGCCCCTTGCAAAACCAAGCAGGGAAGCACTAGAACACTGGTGCAACGTGCAAACTGTTCGTTTCAGCACACAGCACTACTCACTAGATCAAGACAACATGCCCAGCTTGCACCTCTTAAATCTCTTAAGCAATCCGAGATGATCCGAGCTCGCATGCACGACTGAAATTGAACTTCGATTCACGACTGCCCGGTCCCCCAGCACGGCTGTGCACAAAAACCGCGTGTAGTCCAGGCTGCTTGCACCATCCCCCGTATCACCGTGGAACGAGCATTCCTTTTGAATGCAGCACATCAGAATGTGTCGCCCCACTGCATGCAAGCAGCGACGCTGGCCGCCCATGCGCGCTGCGAATAGATATCGCATGGGTTCCAAACGACATCGATTACGAAGGCAACCTGCCTGGCCCGCTGCTTCAAGCGCTTGGTGCGTACCCTGCCCAAGCGGTGGGCGCATGCAAGCGTTGTGATGGCGCCTCGCTGGCTGATTATCCCAGCACAGCATCACGTTACCCGAGGCTGGCCAACCATCCCAAATGCACAATTGGATCATCTGGCATGAGTAAGTGCAACATCTTCACTGAGCACGCACTCACTGCCTGGTTGTCGCAAAGTTTTGCGAACTGCACTAGTCAATGGGCCCGCACACGCAAGGGCACCAACACGAGCTGGGCAAGAACCTCGAAGGCTGCAATACAAACCTGAAAACCAGAACCGCCTACACAGCGAAACCAAGCAGGTAGGTCCCGTGCAGAGAAGACAAATCGCCATCTGCATCGGCGGGCAACCAAAAACAGCATGGTCGCGAGAAGCGAAGGCATCCGCAGCACACATGGTAGAGCAAGCTGGTGCAATGACAAGGGGAACCTGCACCTGCTCCGAAATGGACTGAAGAAACAGCTTCGCAGTGAAGGCGCAGTCAGAATTGGGCCGAACGAACCTGCCCCCATATTCAAAGAAAACCAAAGACACCCGACCACCTTTAACACGCGGGCACTGCAAGGCAGGCGCAGCAAGAGCTGACCACGGTGTTGCTGATCGAGTGCAGTTTCCGTCCGTCTAGGATGTCACAGCATGGCACATTGCCCCGACAATGAGCCGATCGCTCAGGCGGCCCAACACCCCACTGAACTGCTCAAGGTTCACAAGACGGCATGCCGTCAGTG